ATGTTTGTTGTCCATTTGCGATCCTCGAAATCTATGTTCAGCTTCCATGCATGCCTTCTCATGCATGGAAGCATGAAATTTCTGTTGGGCGATAATCAATAGTTACTTTTTCAGGTTGGGGCCAAAAAAACATAGGAAGCTGTAGTTTAAGGAGGATGTTTTACGTTCACATACGATCCTCGATATCAGGTCATACATGTACCAAAATCTTACATACAGTTTCGTTTTGGAGAAAAACTCTACAGCTCGGGTAACAGTCATGACAAGGAGCTGTAATTTTAAACATACAAATCTGAATTTAGCTTTCATATGCGCCCATGGTTTGTGTACGGACAAGTAAAGTTTCAGGCGGCAGATTTCTTGGCTCAAGAACCAAATAAGATAGAAAGTTAAGCTTTTACGTTCATGTTTTCTGTTCATGTGGAATTGAATCCACCTTCTACGTACTGTTATTATTTACGGTCAAGTGGCAATCCGGTGGGAAATTGTTGTTAGGTCGGGGACGGATCAAGATTAAATACTAAAATTTCAAAATGTTTTTTGTTAGTATGTAGCAGCAAATGTTTTTACTAGCAAATATCCATTGGGCAGAATTGTACAGAATGCATGGCATTGGCTAGCTGGTGCTCATCACTATTTATTAGACAAAAAGTTTTATCGGCTTCGATAGTTTGTGTTCGTGATGTTATTATCTTTGCAAGTACGCTGCAAACCCTTTATTCCTCAGGGTGATCTTTTAGATTCTTTTTCCCTGCTATAATCATAGTTGTCTAACTGTGGTCGTGCAATTTTCCATGGCCTTAATAAGCTAATAAAGCGCCGACTCCACACGTGAGCGAGCATTCGCTGGGAAATTTATTGAAGTGGCCTGCCTTTAAAAAGAAATTGAAGAATCTTTGATGAAGTGAAATTTCTCTGTTATCCTTCTAAAGTTATAAAATGTCTCTGTTATTCTTCGGGGTCAAACTGATTGCCACAATCGGCTTATCTCCCTCTTTTTTACAAAAAAAGGGATGAAAGAAACTTCTATTTTTTATGCGTTTTGTGCTGTGTAACAGCAGTACAAAGCGCATATTGTCACGGGGTTGTCTGTATGTCTGTGTTTGTGTGTGTGTGTGTCCGCAGCAACTTGTCCGCAACTTTCAACTCAGGAACCACAAAAGCTAGGAAAAGCGCTGAATAGGGTAACGTTTCCCACCCACGTGTGACCCCACAAATTTAAATTCAGCTTCCCCGTACCCACGGGTAACGTGTACGGCCGGGAACGTTCCCCACCCACGTGTGACCCCGCAAGGGAACCACAAAAGCTAGGAAGCTGAAAATTTAGGGGAACGTTCCCCACCCACGTGTGACCCCGCAAATCGGGAACCCAAAAGCTAGGAAGCTGAAAATTTAGGGTAACGTTCCCCACACCACGTGTGACCCCGCAAATTTAAATTCAGCTTCCCCGTACCCGCGGGTAACGCGTACGGCCCTGCACGTGTGACCCCGCAAATTTCACAAAGCTAGGAAGCTGAAAATTTAGGGTAACGTTCCCCACCCACGTGTGACTCCGCAAATTTAAATTAAGAGCTAGGAAGCTGAAAATTTAGGGGAACGTCCCCCACCCACGTGTGACCCCGCAAATTTAAATTCATACCCACGGGTAACGCGTACGGCCCCCTGAAAGTTTTTCACCGGGAAGTAAATATCTCGGGAACCACGGGCGGGTAACGCGTGCGGCCCTGTGAAAATTTTTTACGGGTAAGTTAATATCTTGGGAACCACGGAGTCTAGATAACGCGTACGGCCTCGTGAAAGTTTTTTACGGGTAAGTTAATATCTCGGGAACCACAGAGTCTAGGAGGCTGAAATTTTAAGGTAATGATCCTACGCCCGCGCCCAACCTTGCCCATTCAAATTCAGCTTCCCTTACCCGCGGGTAACACGTGCGGCCCCGTGAAAGTTTTCCACGGGTAAGTTAATATCTCGGGAACCATGGAGTCTGGGAGGCTGAAATTTTAGGCTAATGACCCCCTGTCCACGCTCAACCTTGCCTATGCTTTCCCATACCCGCGAGTAACACGTACGGTCCCATGGAATTTTTTTATTTTTTTACAGGTAAGTTAATTTCTTGGGAACTACGGAGTCTAGGAGGCTGAAATTTTCGGTAATGACCCCCTTCCCCCGCTCAACCT